TGTCTCAATAAAAATAATAATAATAAATAATAAATAATAAAATAAAAAATAAGGAAAGACACAAGCTGTGCTTTCTTGGGGCATTTCATCTAGAGCAAAATAGATAATTTGAGTAAGGCTAGGCTTTAGCTCCACACATGAAACTACACTATATATATATTGCTCACAGGCGCAAGATTCTCCTTATAATACCAAGCGTTACCCGAAAGACCTTTTGGAAGGACTCAGTGAAGATGCTTCCTGCTTCAAAGGGGAGAATGGAGGGTAAAGGACTTGGATTGGATAACTCAGGCTAACATCCTGCCATAGAAGCGACAAATAAGAGCGAGACATGGTTTAAGCTGCAGACTGGAGTTGTTTAGGTTTTCTTCCTTCCTTTCTTCCTTTCTCTCCTTCCTTTCTTCCTTCATTTTCTTTCTTTCTTCCCTTTTTTTTCTTCTTTCTATTTCCGTTCCGGTGCTTGCCTGCGACTCTTTCTCCCTCCTTGTATTAGTTTTGTATTTTCTTTGCACCTTTTACTTAGAATACACAAGTGTGAGTTCAGTTGCTTAGGGCCTAGTGCCAAGAAGACTATGGTTGTGAGTTCACTCCCCAAGTGGGCTTCTCAGATTCTCTGTGTGAAAAAAAAAAAAAAAAAAAACATGGTCTCCTGATAGTGCCTCCATTGTCTCCATCTAAAGGTTTTGTTTTTTCTTTGAGATGCCACCTCACTCTGTCACCCAGGCTGGAGTGCAGTGGCATGATCTGGGCTCACTGCAACCTCCACCTCCCAGGCTCAAGCAATCCTCCCACCTCAGCCTCCTAAGTAGCTAGGACCACAGGCATGCGCCACCACGCCCAGCTAATTTTTGTATTTTTAGTAGAGACAGGTTTTTACCGTGTTAGCCAGGATGGTCTCGATCTCCTGACCTCGTGATCCGCCCGTCTCGGCCTCCCAAAGTGCTGGGATTACAGGCTTGAGCCACCGCGCCCGGCCAAGAGCTCTTTTAAGAGAGACTTTTATTTCCCTTTATTCTTCTCCTACACCCTCACGGTGCCATTGTTTTATAATCTGATGTTAAAATCCATCAACTGCAGTGGGAATAAAACAGTTAAGATAGAAATAATATATAAAAGAGGTAACAAATGCAGTCTCGTGCTTTTTAGTTCACTTGACAAAGCATGACTCGGCTGCTTTGAGGGATTCCCTTTTAATTTTCTTGGGTCAGCTTGTAATTAAATCTTAAAAGAACCTGTCAAGGCCAAGCACAGTGGCTCACATCTGTAATTCCAGCATTTTGGGAGGCCGGGGCGGACGGATCACTTGAGGTCAGGAGTTCGAGACCATCCTGGCTAACACGGTGAAACCCCATCTCTACTAAAAATACAAAAAAATTAGCCAGGTGTGGTGGCGGGTGCCTGTACTCCCAGCTACTCAGGAGGCTGAGGCAGGAGAAT